CGGGGCCAATTTTGACCCCAGGGCTTTTATTTGAACAAACTTGGTAGACACTTATTAGAACATGTTTCATGCTAAAAATCTTAGCTCTAGATCTTTTGGTTCTTTAAAAGAAGATTTTTTTAAGTTTTTACTATATGCATATAGGGAAAATCAATGACCCCCCTTGGGCTGGGCCAATTTTGACCCCAGGGCTTTTATTTGAACATACTTGGCAGACACTTATTAGAACATGTTTGATGCTAAATATCATAGCTCTTTGATTTCTTTAAAAGAAGATTTTTTAAGTTTTTACTATATGCATCTAGGGAAAATCAATGACCCCCCGGGGCGGGGCCAATTTTGACCCCAGGGCTTTTATTTGAACAAACTTGGTACACATTCACTAGAAGATGTTTCATGCCAAATATCTAAGCTCTAGCTCTCATGGTTTTTTAAAAGAAGATTTTTTACGTTTTTACTATATGTATATAGGGAAAATCAATGACCCCCAGGGGCGGGGCCAATTTTGACCCAAGGGCTTTTATTTGAACAAACTTGGTAGACACTCATTAGAACATGTTTCATGCTAAATATCTTAGCTTTAACTCTTTTGGTTCTTTAAAAGAAGATTTTTTAAGTTTTTACTATATGCATATAGGGAAAATCAATGACCCCCCAGGGCGGGGCCAATTTTGACCCCAGGGCTTTTATTTGATCAAACTTGGTAGACACCTATTAGAACATGTTTGATGCTAAATATCTTAGCCATAGCTCTTTGAGTTCTTTAAAAGAAGGTTTTTTAAGTTTTTACTATATGCATATAGGGAAAATCAATGACCCCCCGGGGCGGGCCAATTTTGACCCCAGGGCTTTTATTTGAACAAACTTGGTAGACACCCATTAGAACATGTTTCATGCTAAATATCTTAGCTGTAGCTCTTTTTGTTCTTTAAAAGAAGATTTTTTAAGTTTTTACTATATGTATATAGGGAAAATCAATGACCCCCCGGGGCGGGGCCAATTTTGACCCCAGGGCTTTTATTTGAACAAACTTGGTAGACACTTATTAGAACATGTTTCATGCTAAAAATCTTAGCTCTAGATCTTTGGGTTCTTTTAAAGAAGATTTTTTAAGTTTTTACTATATGCATATAGGGAAAATCAATGACTCCCCTTGGGCGGGGCCAATTTTGACCCCAGGGCTTTTATTTGAACAAACTTGGTAGACACTTATTAGAACATGTTTGATGCTAAATATCTTAGCCATAGCTCTTTGAGTTCTTTAAAAGAAGATTTTTTAAGTTTTGACTATATGCATATAGGGAAAATCAATGACCCCCCCCCCCGGGGCGGGGCCAATTTTTTGACCCCAGGGCTTTTATTTGAACAAACTTAGTAGACATTCACTAGAAGATGTCAAATATCTAAGCTCTAGCTCTCATGGTTTTTTAAAAGAAGATTTTTTACCTTTTTACTATATGTATATAGGGAAAATCAATGACCCCCAGGGGCGGGGCCAATATTGACCCAAGGGCTTTGATTTGAACAAACTTGGTAGACACTCATTAGAACATGTTTCATGCTAAATATCTTAGCTTTTTACTCTTTTGGTTCTTTAAAAGAAGATTTTTTAAGTTTTTACTATATGCATATAGGGAAAATCAATGACCCCCCAGGGCGGGGCCAATTTTGACCCCAGGGCTTTTATTTGATCAAACTTGGTAGACACCTATTAGAACATGTTTGATGCTAAATATCTTAGCCATAGCTCTTTGAGTTCTTTAAAAGAAGGTTTTTTAAGTTTTTACTATATGCATATAGGGAAAATCAATGACCCCCCGGGGCGGGGCCAATTTTGACCCCAGGGCTTTTATTTGAACAAACTTGGTAGACACCCATTAGAACATGTTTCATGCTAAATATCTTAGCTGTAGCTCTTTTTGTTCTTTAAAAGAAGATTTTTTAAGTTTTTACTATATGTATATAGGGAAAATCAATGACCCCCCGGGGCGGGGCCAATTTTGACCCCAGGGCTTTTATTTGAACAAACTTGGTAGACACTCACTAGAAGATGTTTCATGCCAAATATCTAAGCTCTAGCTCTTACGGTTTTTTAAAAGAAGATATTTTAAGTTTTTTCTTTCGGTTGCCATGGCAACCAGAGTTCTGCATGGAATTAAATTTTTTGAACAATTTTTAAAGGTGACCACCAAAGGAACATTCCTGTGAAGTTTGGATGAAATTGGCTTAGTGGTTTATGAGGAGATGTCATTTAAAGAAAAAGTTTACGGACGACAGACGGACGCCGGACGGCCGAACGCCGGATGAAAAGCGATCACAAAAGCTCACCCTGTCACTTTGTGACAGGTGAGCTAAAAAGGAACAACTATAGCCCAACAGTAATCATTGAAACCTAGCACAATTTTTGGAGTGGAAAAAGGCTTTTTTATACTAGTCTGAAAAAGAAGGCCATGATGACCCTATAATTGCTCACCAAGGAGATATCTACAACTACTTTCATATCATGCTCATCACTGTTTATATCTACAATGTAGAAAAACATCAACATTTAGTTGCAGTGACCATGATCCATATTGACCTCAAACCTGGCATGAGGAAAGAGGTCTGTAAGAGAAATGTTCATGCAAGGCAAATACATACCAAACATCTATCATATCTGTATCTGTTAATCACTGAGGACTATGTATGAGGGATAGGAGGAGAATCAACATCAATGTTAAGTCACTGTGACTACTAAATGCAAGGTGCTAGTTTCTATATTATAAGAAATATCTATGCTAAATATTCACCAACTCAGCCTTGAGGTTTAAGAGAAATACTGTTGTCTTTAATTTTTCCTATACTGGTCGGGGACCATCAACCAGACACTTTTTGAACATTTTTCCATAAAGATTTCATAATTTCAAACCTAGAGACCTGAAAAATTTACACAGTACAGCTAGGTTCTTCTCCTAACAAACAAACTAGTTTGACTATTTCTGATTATATTGACACTTATATCTGAGGCTCTTCAAGGAGGGTATCAAAATTACCGAAATTGTCTACACTACAGTACCTTGTATCCTGACAGATATGTACATGATGTTATTTAATTCAGTTAAATGCTTGTGTTTCAATTTTAACATGATTCACAATATTTCAGCAGCATATGCTGACGTTTTGGATATTCTATTGTTTACTCTGCAAATGATTATAGCTGGCATATGAGGTCAGGTATTGCACTCATAACGCCAAAATTTTCAACATCAACATTCTTGAAGTAGACATTTAAATATTACCGTAGAAATAAATTTAATTACTTAATTAAAGAAGAAACATGCTTTTATTGTTGATAAAAAAAGTGACTGATAGATCGACAGCCAATGAACAAAGGAAAAAAGTAAATTAAGCATTTTTGGGGCCGTCCGGGTTTGGTGGTTGTCCGGTTTTGGTGGTCCCCAACCAGTATATAAAAGGCAATGCAAAAATCAACTGACCCCAAAGGACATGGTAAATTCTGGTCACATGTCAAATGCTTATCTCTAATGCTTCTTGTTCTTCAAAAAGAAGGTCTTTTGAGGTTTCTGGCAACTAAACTTCTGGAATGCAATTATTTGGAATACTAAAGCTTGGCCGTATGCAAGAAAAAAAAATCCCTACAAGGTTTCATCACAACTGACCTGTTGGGTTGTGGGAAAAAAAATGTGAACAGATATACAGCGGACAGAAAGCAATCATAAAATCTCATCCTGGCACTCTTTGACAGGTGAGGAATAGTAACTAAACCATTTAGCAATCATTTCTGTATGAAAATTTTCACTCCTGCTTGGGGTATAAATAATATACGTAAATAAATCTTAAATGCTCATTAAAATGTAAAATAACATTATTCCTACTGCTACACAATAAAATTTGGATTTGCATATGTACAATTAACAACTTGAAAATTAAGTAATACAAGTAAAACAATGACTAATATATATAATGATGTAAATAACTATGAGCATAAATCATTCATACATAAGCACACAGAAAGCTCTAAAAACAGTGCTATTTATAGCCCAAATCTATTTATAGCTATAGCTATTTATAGCCAAAATAACATTTAAAGCTATTTAAAGCTGCAGAAACCCTGCATTAAAAGATTCTTGCAATAAAATATGCATACAAATACATGTATTCGTTTGTCATGTAACATGATGTAACAAGCAAAAGGCAGTGCTTCTTTTTTTGATAAAATTAATTAAACATGGTTACCTTCTCTCGTAAACCTAGACTGTTTATACCTGATAAAAGTTTACATGTCAATTGGCAACTTACCTGAACATTTATATTTTTTTCACACAGTTTATTTCATGTTGTTTTTTTTTACCATATATATCAAACTTTTTTCCCATACAGTAAGTTTTTAAGCAAAAATATTGTTAAAAGTTATATGTTTATAGTTGTTCAACTTTACAAGCTTACAGTTACTGTTTTAGCTCTAGCAATTTAACTATAGGTGTTTGTAAAGAAACAAAAAAATAAGTAATTTTACTGTATGTTTAACCATTTAGATTAGGAAAATAATTATCAATCTTTACTTTGAAATATCCCCCTAAAATCTTATTTATCGTCAATATCTAGTCTCTAACAATCTCCTAATGTTAAGTATCACATTACATATAATTATGTCCCTTTGTACCATCCAATTTCAACAGAACCAATCTTTCATTCTAAACACTGATGTAAAAAATCTTTTTTTATATATAAAAACAATGATTTTCTTTAAAATAAACATAAATGTTCAATATCAAAAAGGTAAAACATGACTGATTTCTGAAGGTATGATTATGAAAGACAGAAACAAATAATATCATTCATACATTTACATACATTCCAAAATATTAAAATATTTTAACTATCTCATTCAAAGACCAAAAATAATTAATATCTGCTTTCAGATTCCTCTTCTAAAGTATTAAGATAGTAGTAAGATCTTTCATAAACAGGTAAAAATATTTTGTAACAATTTTTTTAAGTTCTTTTTCTTTGCAACTAAAAAACTCACAAGTTAAACTTCTGAAGGAAAAAATATGTTCCTTGGCAACATTTAGGTCTGAGAAAAACCTGAAAACAGACAAAATATTTGAGCCTCGTCACAACAAAACCAACATAGTGCGTTTGCGACCAACATGGATCCAAACCAGCCTGCCCATCCGCGCAGTCTGATCAGGATCCATGCTTTTTTGCTATCAGTTTCTCTACTTGTAATAGGGTTGGTAAGCGAACAGCATGGATCCATGCTGGTCGCAAACACACTATGTTGGTTTTGTCGCGATGCGCCTCATTGATTGGTCAAAGACAATCACACATACTGGATTTGCACAAGAATTAACATATAGCACACATATATACCTGTATCAAGTTCTGGATGATCCTGAACTAAAAACTTCATTATCTACTATATCTATATCTAAAGTAAAAATCAACTCATTTGCTTTGTCAAGATACCCACAATTACCTCGGAAAAGAATTATGAATAACCCTTCCCAGCATCTTATTCTTCTACGTTATAAGACCAGAATAATGCCCTGTTATTAGACGACAATTTCTATTGAAGTCTCTTAGTGATAAATAAAAATAACCATGCAAATGGTATAATTTCAGCAAATGTTGATAAAAGTACTCACAGTAGACATAGTAGATAACTGAATATCACAGTCAGAACTGAAATACAGCAAGGTAAAAGCATAAAGATGAAACCAGCCAGTTTACATATCAGCAACCCTCAATAATTTTCACCTAGATAAATAAAATCTAAAGAACATTTTAGGCCCCGAAATGAGCTATGTCTGTTGCTCATTACTCTCTACACCAGCTTCTTTAATTTGTAAGATAAGTGAAACTATGTTATCATCTTAGTGCAGTAACAGGTTCCTTATATAATTTAAAAGGAGTTAACCCATTACTGCACTAAGGTAGCAATATGTTGTATTTTACAAAATAAGACAGAGTGTAATTATAAGTATGTCAAGAAACAGGCAGCTCTTTTGCTGGCCTTGTTATTAGCACATATGATGGAAGACAGTTATTTGAAGAAAGAACCCATGAAGTTTGCTTTGAAGGATTTTCTACAATATAATTTTTTTGGAGATTAATAAATAGTATTCTCACAGAACAAAATTGTTTTGCAATGACTGGTTTTGAGAAGAAGTCAGAAAAAGAGAAAGTTAAGTGTTATACCAGTAAGAGAGAGGAGATAGGAGATGTAGATAAATGATGGGACATTAAAAAGGGTTTAACAGAACCAGGAAGCCAGAAAGAAATAAAGAAAATGGCTAGTTACTGGTAAGAAAGAGAACATCACCAGGATATATATAAATATACAGATATAATCATCACCATAATCATCCAGAACTATATTTTGTCAAAACAAACTATTTAGTAATACAATCATTAACACTTTAAACACATCACAAAACAATGCAATAAATGTAGAGGTATACTTATATACATAATGAAGTTTTAACCCCACTAATCTGGCATGCTCAGAATGTCAGTTGTTTGTATATGCAGACAAGATTTTAAACTAACGATTTTTATAAATCAAACAATACTTGTTTTGCACCTGAAATCATCGCCTTTTGGTGGAGGCTTTTAAAATCTTGGGACGCATTTTCTAAAAATACATTCTACTGTCATAGAAAAATGCTCATATACATGTACAAAAAGAGACACAAGACTTAAGATAAAAAATAATAATCACTATTTTCTTCCTTATTTCAAAAACATAAATATATTATGTTCAATATTAATATTAAAGACAATGAATTTGGACAAGAAATCAAAAGAAAAGAAATTTTCACTTCCATAAGTGAAAAGAAAGTGAAAAGAAATTTTCACTTCCATAAGTCCTAAAAAAATTCTGGATTGAACATAAAATAGTTCTGTGAACTTAAAATCAATAGCTACAAAAATTAGATTAATAATTGTAAAAAAATGGCTTTTGAGCAGATTTTTTCAGTAAATTTGATGCTCTCAAACAAGGTATAACTTCAGACATCAACAACTAAACCTGATAACTAAGAACAATGAAAAACCACAAAAAAAGAAGAGAAATTTGGTTGTTGTTTTTTTTCCCAACCTGTCTTATTTATGTTCAGTACATGAGCATGTGGGGATAAAATGGAAATTAAAACAATGTCTAAATGGTGACTAAAAATGATAAAAATACCCAAATTCACTGAAGAAGACCATCATTATCTTCGAAACCTGCTCCTTTAACATTACATTTAACAGTGCTACCCAAAATTTGAAAAGTTCAATTATTATCAAGATTACGATTTGAAAAATGTACAGCATTTTTAAATTATATATCTTTTCCCATTAAAACTCAATCTCTTTCTTTTCTTTAAAGATTTACATTATCTTTTGATAATAACTTAAACAATATTTAATAAGATTTATTTTATACAGTGCAGCCTCTGGTAAGTGTCCTCTGTAGATAAATAACATCTTTACAACAACAGAATCCATTATATCAAAGTAAGACCTAGCAATAAATTTAACATCTTCAGAGCAACATCTCTCTTCAACAACCTAAATCTTTGTCTCTGTAGGGCGCTGGTTTATCGAGGTTATACTGTATGACAACTCATGCTTTAACACTTAACAATTCAAAACAATTTTCGAAAGAATATATCATAACTGTGAAGCTGTTGTTGTTGTTGTTGTTGTTGTGTACTGTCAAGGACAAGACCTCTGTAGAAATCTACATAAACCTTTAGAATATATTTTTCAAAGGTTCATGAAGGAACTGAATTTAAAACTTTTTTAAAGACACATTGCAGAATTCACATCTGATATTTATGGTATGGTGTTAAACCCCTTGCACCAGGAGGAGCCTGCACTAAGAAGCAGTATGAAGGTATACAATGATGTCCTCGGTGTATATATCAGGTATAAAATTACTGACGTTAAAGCTCCATATCTTGAACTTCATCGTCAGAAAAGTCACTCATAGAACTTTCACTAGAGGAATCTTGATGTTCTTGTTCACGAATAGCTTCTTCGGTTGCATACTTCTTCACATACTCTGTGTATAACATGAATAATATATTTTTTCACATATATGAAAATAAATCTATTACATGATATAACAGTGAATTATGGAAATTATTCATATAAAATTTCGCTGTAGCCAAACAACGTTTGCATGGATGAAAAGCATATATCTTAAATAAATGAATATTTGGGCTAAAAAAACTCAATCACAAGTAAACGTAAAATGTAAATGAATCCTAGAAGCAACCAAACATTTACACACTTTTCAAGAATTTTTTTCAAAACTCAACCTTAATCCAGACACAAACTGCATCTGTAAAAATTCTGCATTCTTTAACTACATGTATAACCACATTAAATGTTTTGAATGAACTTTTCCATTTTTCAATCTGGACAAAACCATTCATTATTTAACAGGAAAATTTCAAATTATGTACTGACTGAACAGTGAAAAGGTCAGATCATGAACAGATGGCATGAATATGTAAACCAATCTTCGACTGGTCAAATACGTAAATTCAGTATTCACAACCACAAACCTGCTATATTGTTTCCATGTATGCAAAGTTTCAAATAGAATTCAAACCAGCAGTTGTAAAGCATTGGCAGAAACTGTTACAGCAAACTTGACTACTTAGTTGTTAGACCTCTTTTTTGTTGTTGTTTAAAGTAAAATCAATAATCAACTGATGAATAGAGCAGTGGCCTAGTGGTTAAGGTGTCTGCCTCTCAACCTAGAGATCATAGGTACGAGCCCTACCAGGGTCACAATCATGTATCTTCATATGTCACCAGTACTGGTTGGTTCCAGGAAGCGGACTCGAAAGTGATTAATATAAATTGAAAGGACTTGTTTGGCTATCGAGCCTAAATAAATATGTTTAAACTGATGAATGAACAAGGACTTTAGACATAATTATATAATAACCTGTGACTTTCTTCTTGTAATCCTCTGGTTTATGTAGATACATTGCAGCTGCATCACCATTGAGGGGATCTATCGGGTTTGGATAGCTCAATAACTGTGGCAAGAACGACTCGAAAATATTGGAGAGATCTGAAAAGATAATTAATTTTCATTCATCTTTTTTAAATTTAAAATCAAATACATGATTTTTTTTAAATATGTAATTTATTCAACTTTCAAACCATTAAAACAATTACATGTATTATCACTGAGTCACAAAATTTCTTTTTCCATCACCATATAGACACCTTAAATTTTACAATATCAATTTCAACAAATCATAATTTCTCCATCATTCAATAGAACATAATTATATGGAAATAAATTTTCCTCATTTCACGAACACATTTTACCGTACAAAAATCAATGAAATTTGAACAAACTTTGTAAATTAGATTTTTTCAGAAAGTCAGGAAAATATAAGTATCTATAACTTCCTGCTATCCTAAATATTTATAAATTGACTAGCTTGACTAACAGTAATATTCAATCTGTCCTTTAAATATTTATTTCAGAAGTGAAGAGAATCAATTTTACATTCATGGTGGTTTGAGTCAATGACCTTAAGTCAATGACCATAAACACCCAAGATACCTGAGCAATAATGAAAGGCCTTTCATACAAGTAAAGAGCCTGGTTTCTTTCAAATCTGACAAAACTCTATACCACTGACCGTTTTATAAGCTGGAGGTCCTTTTAGCTGCTTAAAAATTTATAAAAGTTTAAGAGTCTAAAGCTGAAAGCTTTAATTCATACAGCAAATGAAACAATTCAAAAAGATAGGCCATAATATGAAGGTAGAGAAACAAAACAAAAGGTAAAATAGTGCAGAGATTCACAAGTACACATATTAATGGTCATGCAATGAAAATTGAATTGGTTAATCTGCAATGACAACAAAGTTGATAACCATCATATCTGAAATAGGGTTGGATTTCTTTATTGAAAGAATTTCAATTGATGCATTGTTAATACATTTATTGACAGTACAATAAGTTTATAGAAAAGGTTATTTCTCTGCAAGAAACAGCTATTTTCTAATTCCTAAAACTTTATAAAATGAGGTAATTGGACACAATGAATTATGTCAATAATCCAATAGCCTACAACAAAACTTTATAAAACTAAGGAGAAAAAAAACAGGGTATTTAATCAATTTGCCATTTGAATGGTTTAAATGAATATATGATCTGATATGCATTAACTTGATAAACCTAAAGTAAACTACATGGTACAAGGTACATGACTTTCAGTTTTAAAATAAGAAATAAATTGTTAAGTCTGAAGAGGTATTTTTACCCTGATGACCCATACGAAGATGAAAACTGACCTATGAAAATCTAAACATCTACATACATGTATATAATTAATAAAATATTCAAGCAGCCAAATGTAGCTGAAAAAACAAAAACAAAAATACATGTATTTACCATATAGCGCAGTCCATGCCTGATTTATTACATCCAAACAAACAGTTCCAGATCTGAAAGTTAAGTTTACAGAATATTTAGTTTTAGGTTCAGAAAGGAAAATTGTAAGTTATAATACATAGAGCATAAAGTCAGTAATAAGGTTCAGGTTTTGACATAAGGGTTCTTTTGTCCAAGTATATATCAAATATGTAAATATATTTAACAAAATTATAATAGTCTAAGCTAAATTCAATGTTTGACCTTAATGGTCGGGGTCATTTGTAGGTGAAGTTCATACATTGTAATTTAATAATTTAACACATCAGTCTTAATATAAATACATTTTTGCCAAGTTTAAAATCAAATCTTTAAATAAATAATAAAGTCATGGCTTATTGTAGCACAATTCACTTAATTGACCTTAAGTGTCAAGATCAAATTAAGATCAAGGTTAAATTCAATTAAATCAATATAATACCTTGTTCCATAAAATGTAGTGCACAAGACTATAACAATTCATTCATTAATTACAAAGTAGCTAATTATAGCAAAAAACTGTGAAGTTATAATAATTTCTCATTCAAGGTCAAGGTCATTTAGAGGTCAAGATCAAATTTGGTTTGATATTCTCTAAGACATTGTCTTAAAGTGGTTTTTCTCAAGTATGAAGACGGTCCATTTATAAACAAGATATGTTTGTAAAACATGTATGCCCCCTATCGGCAGCCAATTATTCATGTGATAAGGTAATTATGCATGACTTCTGACCCAGTGATCAAACAATTAATAAGGGTTATCAAGTATCTACTGGTCATGACCTTGACCTTTGACCCCTTGACCCAAAATTCAATAGGGGTCATCTGCTGGTCACCACCAATCATCATACAAAGTTTGAAGTTCCTAGGCCTAAGCGTTTTTAGTTAATTGATCAGAAACTGTTTTTACCTACAAGGTCAATGTTAAATGACCTTTGACCCCTTGACCCTAAAAACAATAGGTCATCTGCTGGTCATGACCAATCACCATACCAAGTTTGAAGTTCCTAGGCCTAAGGGTTCTTAAGTTATTGATCGGAAAGCATTTTTACCTACAAGGTCAATGTGACCTTGCCCTTTGACCCCTTAACCCCAAAATCAGTAGGGGTCATCTACTGATCATGACCAATCACCATACCAAGTTTGAAGTTCCTAGGCCTAAGGGTTCTTTAGTTATTGATCGGAAACTGTTTTTACCTAAGAGGTCAATGTGACCTTGACCTTTGACCCCTTGACCCCAAAATCAATAGGGGTCATCTACTGATCATGACCAATCACCATACCAAGTTTGAAGTTCCTAGGCCTAAGGGTTCTTTCTTTATTGATCGGAAACTGTTTTTACCTAAGAGGTCAATGTGACCTTGACCTTTGACCCCTTGACCCCAAAATCAATAGGGGTCATCTACTGATCATGACCAATCACCATATCAAGTTTGAAGTCCCTAGGCCTAAGGGTTCTTAAGTTATTAATCGGAAACCGTTTTTACCTACAAGGTCAATGTGACCTTGACCTTTGACCCCTTAACCCCAAAATCAATAGGGGTCATCTACTGATCATGACCAATCACCATATCAAGTTTGAAGTCCCTAGGCTTAAGGGTTCTTTCATTATTGATTGGAAACCGTTTTTACCTACAAGGTCAATGTGACCTTGACCTTTGACCCCTTAACCCCAAAATCAATAGGGGTCATCTACTGATCATGACCAATCACCATACCAAGTTGAAGTTCCTAGGCCTTAAGGTTCTTTACTTATTGATCGGAAACCGTTTTTGCTTACAAGGTCAATGTGACCTTGACCTTTGACCCCTTGACCCCAAAATCAATAGGGGTCATCTACTGATCATGACCAATCACCATATCAAGTTTGAAGTCCCTAGGCCTAAGGGTTCTTTCATTATTGATCGGAAACTGTTTTTACCTACAAGATCAATGTGACCTTGACCTTTGACCACTTAACCCCAAAATCAATAGGGGTCATCTGCTGGTCATAACCAATCACCATACCAAGTTTGAAGTTCCTAGGCCTAAGGGTTCTTAAGTTATTGATCGGAAACTGTTTTTACCCAAGAGGTCAATGTGACCTTGACCTTTGACCCCTTGACCCCAAAATCAATAGGGGTCATCTACTGATCATGACCAATCACCATACCAAGTTTGAAGTTCCTAGGCCTTAAGGTTCTTTCATTATTGATCGGAAACCATTTTTGCCTACAAGGTCAATGTGACCTTGACCTTTGACCCCAAAATCAATAGGGGTCATCTACTGATCATGACCAATCACCATACCAAGTTTGAAGTTCCTAGGCCTTAAGGTTCTTTACTTATTGATCGGAAACCGTTTTTGCTTACAAGGTCAATGTGACCTTGACCTTTGACCCCTTGACCCCAAAATCAATAGGGGTCATCTACTGATCATGACCAATCACCATACCAAGTTTGAAGTTCCTAGGTCTTAAGGTTCTTTACTTATTGATCGGAAACAGTTTTTGCTTACAAGGTCAATGTGACTTTGACCTTTGACCCCTTGACCCCAAAATCAATAGGGGTCATCTACTGATCATGACAAATCACCATACCAAGTTTGAAGTTCCTAGGCCTTAAGGTTCTTTAGTTATCACTCGGAAACCATTTGGTCTACGGACCGACGGACCGACGGACCGACAGACCGACGGACCGACGGACCGACAAGTGCAAAGCAATATACCCCCTTTTCTCCGAAATGGGGGCATAATAATAGAATTATAGTCGATTATAGCAAAATGAAGCAAAATTCATTAATTTGATCTTCATGGTTAAGACCATTGATGAGTAAAGATCATAATCAATTTGGTCTGCTTGAAGGTCTTGTCCAAAAGATTTGTGAGTACATTACAAGTAAGAATACAATTCATTTATAAGTAACAAAGTTATTATATAGCAAAGTATAGCAAAATTCAAGATCAAAGTCATTCATGAGTCATGGTTAAGTTTAATCTAGCTAACTTCAAGAGTCTGGATAATGTAGAATTTTCTTAGTTCAAAAAGAGCCATAATTCTTTCAAAATCCAAGTTATGGGCTTTGGACAGTGACCTACGATTATGCTCTCAAATAAACTGTGTGTGAAGTTTCAACCCATTCCCTTTAGCTGTTTTGGAGATACCAACTTGCATGCAAAAAGATAACCAAAGTGTGATGGTAACTCTGATGCCTAGGTGAGTACAATATCTCTCCCTAATCCTATTCTTCTCAAAACAAGTAAATTAAGGTGTAATATAATGTTAATAATGTAGTCAAATATAATCTTACACTTCATCAATGTTGGGATGAAAGATTCTGTTCATGAAGCCAATTGAAGGAGACTTGAATGGATATTTTTCTGGGAGATCAACTCTAACCTTCCATACCCCTCCCTCATATGGTGCTGAAAATAATAATAATTATGTTTTTGTATACTGATAACACAAATATATAATCATAATGATCGTATGAGGAGAATGAATAAATTATTATGCAATATATAGTTATATACTATGCATGAACCACAAAATTCTTAAAATAAATTAATGAAATCAATTAACTTTAAGTCAAAAAATTTGATTTGAAATGTCAAAAAGTTGATATGTAAGTGAACAGATAAACAAATAAAAAAGATGAACAAATACAAGTAAATATTTTGGTCTTTATATATATATTAAAATACATTGATCAGTGTCACATATAAGTACACAAATTCAGAATTCGGTAAAACGACATCACAAAAAGATAAGGTCACAAATATAAATGCCCAAATCCCTTACATTTACATAATTATGAGACATTGCATTCTGAATTTTGAAAATTTTACCATAAAGGTCAATGTCAATTAGGGATCAAGAACATATGGGCATATATTAAAATGATAAAAGCAATTTTTTGACAAAAACCTAAACACATAAAATTTGAATTTCTTTCATAGATCAACAGAGGCACTTGGACAGAAAGATATGCAGAAGGTTCTTAAGAAACATACCCAAAATAAATTGGAAATCATAATTATGTTTGTGCAATTAAGCCCAAATGAGCAAAAAGGTAAAATGTGACAAAGACTTTTTAATTTTCATTATTTTTGAATAATTTTTCACAATCAGAATAATCATTCGGGGAAAACGAAGTGAGTGAATTAGCTGGGATTTTTGCATAAAAGTAATTGGTCTGACTTATACATCAAATAAAATAAATAATCTGAAAAAATTATATCCGGTCGAGTCATGTCAAAAAACCTTAGTAGAGTCAATTTAAATCAATAGATTAATGATCATAATTATTTCATTAAAAAATCTGACGACAAAAATCATTTATTTCATTTTGTTTTCCTGAAATCTTTCATGGCCTATTGAAACAAAAATAAACCCATCATTTAAATCAAAAATAATCTCAAAATGTTCTCTATGTGACATAGACAGCACTGTCAAGTATTCTAGTATAAAATGTCTTAATTCTCTTTTCAATGGTATCTCTCTAGCTCTGATGATTGCCATACAGAACTGGCAATCAATTGTGCGACATATCTTATTTTAGTATATTGACTTTTCTCCAACACCAACAAAGCAACAATTCCAATAAAGCGAATGATTGTATTTATTTTCAGCTTCTTATCGAAACTGAAAATTTCACAGAAATAGTTCTTTGCCGAGTTAATGAAATTTTATTAAAACAATTTTGGAAAAATGTGGCCAAGATATTTTCTTTCTAACAAAGCAAATCAATTTACTCACTCACTTAATTACATTTTCAATGCACCAATGATATTAGACCATTGATTACTTGACCAACAAAAGAAACCACATAACTTTTACATTCGAGTCTTCATATTATCTCCCTTTACATGGGTACAATTGATCAAACTTATTCTATATTGATTAAATTGTCAATATGCTCAAAACTGTTTCCAGGGTAACATAATGCTTTATGTTTCTATTGGATGCACATTAATTATCAAACACAAGCATTTTGTTTTTACATTACTATAATGCTGTTTAATCACTTAACATCATTATTTTTTCCTGTATTATTTCCTTCATACAACTTGGTCCCTTAAATCAAATTTAGAGCAGTCTTTTTTTTCGGTTTAGGGACTACCAGTACTATTTAAAAATATTCATACCAAAATTATTTTTTGTGCAGCCAAATATGTATTTAATTATACATATAAGGTTTTTTGTGTGTTTTTTTTATTATTATTTTTTTTTTTGTATTTTATGTTGCACTAACACAGTATAGGTCTAATGGAAACTTTCTAGGGAAGATTTCAGACCTGTGCCTTTGTGCAGATTTACTTTAAAACAAAGACATTTTCAAGAACAATTTTACAGAAAGTAAAGTTATATAAGAGTATAAATGGAACAAATCCCCCTATTATGTGTAACTGTAGTCTGAAGATATCCTCTTATCTCCTAAGAAGACATATAATGTTCTTATAATAGAATACAGCAGATGTCATACAATAACATGTAATTACATTTATAGAATTTTAAGGACAGGAGTCAGGTGATCAATATTACACTTCAGTCAGCAGAATTACATTATTTCCCATGATGCAATTTTCTTGTATAAGGCTTGCATTGAAGGTGAACAAATTGAAAGATAATCTGTATGGACTTCCATGTTCCAATTACTAAGACTTACAAAATATTGCATAGAGATTTAAGTTTCAAATAAAGTTAAGCCTGGTATAAAAGCCATCTATGAGTAAAACTTACATGACTGTAGACATGTGTTCTATTATGGCAACTGCAATATGGAGGGCGATCGTTGCCAAAATTCCAGACATGTAAAGTGTTCCTTTTTAAAATGAATTTTGAAAATGCAAACTTGTATGCCTACCATTTTTTATTTTACCCGTGCATAGCACATGGTATGTCTCTTAATTCTATCTCTTAATTGAGGGTTCCCGCCTTTATATGACAAGTTTACATATAGATCGTAACAACTGACCTAACATCTAAAACGACAACAAATTTACAAGTTCGTATCTTCCATTGCATGCAATTTATATGCATTTTTGCACACTTATAGATATGAAATATACAAATGAAATGTAAATCTTAAATACAGAAAAATAGAGAGAAAGTTAAAACGTGTTACCAGTTGTAGAACTACACGAATACGTTAACACAGTAACATGTTTAAAATGACAAAAGTAGGTTTACAAAGTTAAACGATTTTAAAGTCAAGCATAACGCCCCGCCCCTCTCGGAGTATTTACGATCTTCTATTGCGGGACAGGTATAAAAACGGCGCCTCTCCCATATTTCTAAATAAAACCGAAGGACAGCATACCGCCTATTCATAACATATATTTGTTTCATTTGTTACAAAAGTTTTGTCACTTGCAACATCACTTGAAAATTGCTGGTTTTAACATTTATGATGAAGATAACTTATGCATAAACTTATTATTTAACATTGTGTTTTTCCTGAGAAACATCGGCGATTTGGAAATTTTTAGGGCAAACAATGACCAACTTCAAGGGAGTAATATTATTGATAATCTTAAGGACCATCCAATATTTTTATTGGTTTCATTGAAAAATGTATTGGCACAAATTTAATTTTCAACAAAAACTATGCAAGTATTTGCAAAAATAGGATTTTAAAGCGGCCACCGAGATTTCCTTTCAGAAATCAAGAAAAAAACTTATCCGTAGCACATCTGTACAATCTGGTATTTTCAGTATAAATAAAAACATTTTGCACTTGTTCATTATCACTCATGTACAGACTCAATCAAACCGAGGCTGCATTTCTAATGTAATTTTGTTGTGATTTAATGCTTCCGAGGGATCACTTTGTTTTTCAAGATTTTATACTTCACAACAGCAGGTGTCAAAGGCCGTGTAGCAGCTGTAAAAAGTTTCCCCGTACTCCACTTCAGTGTTGTTATATTTTTCTGGTCCGTCGGGATCACTGATGCCAGCATTATTAAGTGTTGAGAATTGAGTACCGCTCAAGTCGGTGCCAGGGGGGCGTAAGGAAAGTTGCACTTGTTCATTTTTCCTCATGTACAGACTCAATAAAACCGAGTCTGCAGTTCCTTTGAATTCCTAATCAGTTACAAATTATTAATCATTTAGTGAATAACCTGTCCGTGCTCTGTCTTTGCCCTGTCCTGTTTTTGTTTGGGGGTCCGCCTGGGCTCCTTGCCACTGGTTCTTGTTGCTGGGTCATATGGAGGTTGCGTTCATTGGAACGCCGCCTTTCCTTGTTAATCTTGTTTATCATATTTTATGTAATTTTGTTTTGTGATTAATGCTTCCGAGGGATCACTTTTGTTTCAAGATTTTTAATATACTTGTCCAAAGGTTATGGTCTTAACTTTCATCCAATATTCATTTTCTTTTTTGAATAAAGTATCTAAAGGAAGCGACGTGATTTTCTTGCAAAATATATGAATGTGGTTTTAAGAGAGAAAAAATAAACAACGATAAGTTCGAAACAAAATTTTAAATACGTAATTAATTTTCATTTTTAAGACATCACTAGAAACTTCACGAAGGATTCTTTTACTTTAGTCTAAATTTATAAAAATTGACCAAAAAATAAATAAGTAAGTAGGGGCACAATGTTTCTCTTACTGAAATTCAGAGTGTGTTTTGTTTTCTTACTTGGGGACCATATGCCGTTTTTTATGGAATGGCACTAACGTGTCACATTGAAGGTTCCATGATTATCGCCATATTAACACATATGCGGAAGTTTCAAAATTGTACCAGTTCATATTTTGCTTGAGAAGGTGCTAGGGGGCGTGGACGGTAACTTGCACTTGCCATTACCGTCCATGAACAGGCTCAATCAAACCGAGCCTGCAACATTCTCAATTTTGTCGTTTTGAGCGTTCTTTAGAGATTCTTATTTTCTCTATTTTACAGAAAGTAACATGATAAACTTTTAAAACGAAAAAATTAATTCATTTTGATTTAATTCAGTTTTATTTTTAGGCATTATATAATTATATATATTATAAATCGTATGAAGCACACTTTTATTTCAATCCAAAAATTATTAAAATTGATTACGAAATTAAAAAGTTTGGAAGGAACGCCGTGTTTTTTCTTACCAATTCTAGAGTGTTATTTTCAGAGGAAAAAATGATAAATTTTGAAACAAAAATTTCAATACATCTATTTAATTTATTTTTATTTTTGAGGCACTCATACAAAGCTTATGGAGTAATCTTCCGTAATCTTCCATTTGATACAAAAAATATTTGACTTTTTATAGAAATAAAAAAGTTAGAATGGACGCCGTGTTTTCTTTCACATTATTTGGGAAAATAGGAGAGAGGCGACGGGTATTATACCTGTCCGAAACATTTCGTAATAGAAAGATCGTAAGTACTCAGAGAGGGGCGGGGCGTCATGGCATGACTTAAAATCGTTTAAAACTTTGGTGAATCTACTTTTGTCATTTTAAACGTGTTACTGTGTAAACGTACTGTTGTAGTTCTACGACTGGGAACATGTTTTATTTTAAATTCTATTTTCTGTATTCGAGTTTTACATTTCATTTGTATTTTTCAGGTACAGATAGATATCTACAAGTGGGCAAACATGCTTATGTATTATATGAAATGGAAGATACGAACTTGTAAATTTGTTGTTGTTCTCCATGTTATGTCAGTTTGTTGAGATAAACATGTAAACTTGTTATTTAAAAGCGGGTGAACTTCAATTAAAAAGATTGGATTAAGAGGCATAGCATTTGTTTGTGCAGGAATACAAGATAAAATGCTAGACAATACACGTTCGCATTTTCAAAAAGTAGTTTTCAAAAAGGAACATTTTACATGACTGGAATTTTGGCAACGATCGCCCTCCATACTGCAAGATCATTTTGGTAACACAGAAAGATTTTTTGCAAATTTCACACTTGAATATCTGCATAAAATTGGTCAATTGTTTTTGAAAATTTTCTTTAATAAAATAAGTATAATCAAGTTAATAATTTCCTGTGTTGTTTGCACAAATATAATATTATCTGCTGTCAAATCAAGACAGTAATAAAATGGTCATGTGATACTTTTAACCCATTACTTCATATACACGCCTTTTAACGCCTTTTTCACCCCCCCCCCCTTTTGTTGTCTCAAATGATGAAAAAATGCCTTATTTAGGCCCCAAACACTTGTTTTTGTTTGAGAAATGTTGTTAAAAAAAGTGACCTCTTTTTCGGCGCGGCCCCCCATCCAAAAGATACATCAGGGGGTTGCCAGAAGGGGGATGTGCCCCCTTCTGTTTGGGGGGTTTGAAGGGGGGCGGAGTACCCCTCATCGCCAAGAAAATTTTGGACTTGTGAGAGGCTGTAAATGACCCCAGATTGATCATAAGGTAACGTGTAACCAACGCTGAAAAGCATTTGACTTTATCTCAATCCATTGAGAAGTTGCAGCACTTTGAAATCAATTTTGATGGAAAAAATCAACGCAAAAATAGTGATTTTTGGCAATTTTGAGATTTCCCCTCGTTGCCATGGTAACAGAAATTTAAGCCTGAGCATGTTGTTGCAAGGGCAATGGTCCAGTCAACATTTGTGCCAAGTTTGATTAGTGTTGAGGCAGTTTTTATAGTATTATAGCCAATTGAACTTGTAACAGGAGACTTTTCAATGAAAACAGCCATTTTTCACAAAATGCTCATGAAGTAATGGGTTAATGAAAAAAATAAAAAAATCTACAAAACAAGAATTTTTCTTCAAATTTATATGACAGGCCATGTTTAAAACATGAAAAAACGCGATTTAGGGTAATTTCAAGTATTTTCATCATTTTTTTCTGTTAACGCCATTACTTCATAATACACGCCTTTTAACGCCTTTTTCACCCCCCCCCCCTTTTTGTTGTCTCAAATGATGAAAATATGCCTTATTTAGGCCCCAAACACTTGTTTTTGTTTGAGAAATGATGTTAAAAACAGTGACCTCTTTTTCGGCGCGGCCCCCCATCCAAAAAGATACATCAGAGGGGTTGCCAGAAGGGGGATGTGCCCCTTCTGTTTGGGGGTTTGAAGGGGGGCGGAGTCCCACTCATCGCCAAAATAAATTTGGGACTTGTGAGAGGCTGTAAATGACCCCAGATTGATCATTAGGTAACGTGTAACCAACGCTGAAAAGCATTTGACTTTATCTCAATCCATTGAGAAGTTGCAGCACTTTGAAATCAATTTTGATGGAAAAATTCAACGCAAAATAGTGATTTTTGGCAATTTTGAGAGGTCCCTCGTTGCCATGGTAACAGAAAATTTAAGCCTGAGCATGTTGTTGCAAGGGCAATGGTCCAGTCAACATTTGTGCCAAGTTTTGATTAGTGTTGAAGCAGTTTTTATAGTATTATAGCCAATTGAACTTGTAACAGGAGACTTTTCAATGAAAACAGCCATTTTTCACAAAATGCTCATGAAGTAATGGGTTAAACAATGAAACTTGAGTGGTCATTATTTTTATAAGTCTTTGAGCAAAAGGCATATTTATACATACATGTATTCAAAAGTAAAAATAATCAATAAATTGGTTACTGTTCATTTTTAAACATTTACCAAATTAAATTGATCCATCGTGCTATTCTACACCAATCCAATTAAAGGTAGTACCAACACTAATTTAAACTACATTAAAAATGTGTTATGATTTATTTGAAATAAAAAGTAATTTCAAACACTAATATTTGCTGATGTCATCAACAGGACTTCCATTTAGAAGTCAATCTGAGACTGTAAAAACTTTTGACAATGAAAGTTAAAGAAGGAAAAGCATTATGTTTTGGTCTAATCAAGGAATATTAATGACTGCTAAACTTCCCCTAACAGCAGCCCTACATCTAACTATTATCTTTATTTATAGTTGGCATGTTAGAATATATTCTTTAGCTGACAAATAAAAGTTCTATAAACAACAAAAGCAAGCTCTTATATTGGGGCGTGATCAATAGTCATTCTTTCACACAATTTTATAGCCAATCTTTCCTTTAACTGGCAAGTCATAAAAAAACTTGTTTTCAATTTTTCTTTAACAAATAACAATGCCATGAATCTATTTTTCAACTAGCAGAGATTAAATTGCTCTTAGGACATTGCCATCACAAAACATGTATTATTATCTGCCAAAATAACTTAGCATTTCTTTATAGTTTGACATCCACTTTATATATAGTATACATATAATTACAATTTTGTGATTCTGAAACTTAATTGTTAATTGGACAATTCATAATGACTCATAGCAAGACCATTATTACATACATGTATACAAACAGAGAAAAGGCCAATAAGGTTATTAATAAACTTAATGTTACAATTATACATACTTCCTGCTGGTCCATAAAACTTCACTATGAACTCATTCAGACCACCTAGAATTGTCACCTCATGTTTACTTTCAATACTGATTAATGAGTTAAGGTAAATATCAACACAAAATATTCTCATATATTAAAATATGCATGAGTAATACGGACTGCAGCTAATATGTCTGTATTGACAAATCAGTTTTTCATGATGTAATTTATTAAGTAAATATAAAGCCAGTCATCTTCAAATGATTATAAAAATATAAACCCTATAGATTACCTGGTCAATAAAATAAACCCAGTGATAAAATATCCCTTGGCTAATTTACATGACCCTTAGTTACTTCCTTAACAACAAAAACCTATTGACATTTATCCAAGCTGTTCAATTGACATTTATACATTGATGTTATTTCCCAATTTGAATCTGATAGCTGAATGTTGATATTATATAAATGTATACATTAATTAATATACCTGGTACTCAGTATATTAAATGTACTCACTGATGACATTTAGTATAAACAATTTTCATAATTTATATCAGTTTTTAAGTAATTCAACAATTCCTGACACCAACTTGACCATGGAAGAACTAACTTACTAAGAATGTATTACAGCTGAAACAATAAAAACAAATTAAATCAAAGCACAGAAGGCGCTGAATTTGTTTGGGTCTCAGAAAGGTGAAGGTTGTGAGATTATAAACCAATTTGTTTTTGTAAAGTGCCACCAATACTTTCCAGCGTTTTAGTTGTAGTAAATTGGCTATAAAACTAATTTAAACACTGATATTCAATCCAATGTTTATTTGATTTAAACAATTTGAAAAAAAAAATGAGTTGCCTTAACTGGGATTTGAACTCAAGACTTCTCGCTTCCTAAGCGAGCGCGCGAACCCCCTCGGCCACGGTGAATTTATTTGTTAACAGCCTGAAGAAAACTATATTATTCTACTATTAGAGTTTGTAACGATGCTAACTGTTGTTTAACACAGATGTAAATAATCATGGAGCTTACTATAAGCATGTATATCTTTGTTTGTTTTTGGGTTTTACGTCACATCGACACAGTATAGGTCATATCGCGACGTTCCAGCTTTACTGGTGGAGGAAGACCTCAGGTGCCCTTCCGTGCATTATTTCAGGCACGAACGGGCACCTGAGTAGAACCACCGACGTTCCGTAAGCTAGCTGGATAGCTTCCTCACATGAAAGAATCCAAAGTCCCTGTCGGGATTCGAACCCACAGCGGTGAGGGGCAAGTAGTTTGAAGGCAACGACCTTAACCACTCCGCCACGGACGCCCCCTATGTATATCTATAAAGAATAAAACAATATTAGAAATCTTCGACAATTCGGGAATTATTTTGCTTGAAAATTAATGCGCCTGTCATTTGACCATCTTTACGCAGTGATCTCCCTTCAATTTTTCGGCGTTAACATATAAAGAGAAGTAACCGCTTCAAAAAAGCGGACTACTTTCGGCACTTGCAATTAACAGCATTAGAGTCTGAAATTTCGCTACCATTATTTGTTTGGTCTAACGACCTAAACAAATAAAAATGATCACGAAAAATCAAAATGGAATATATACATTTGAATTTGTGACACTGCTTTTCTACTATTTAATCATTATTAAATTTTAGGAGAATAAGATATCTTCACTTCAGATCAAGTTTATATGCACAAAACAGGGAGGTAATCAGTTGACAATTAAACACATAATTATGTTGCATAAAACAGTATCATGTAACTTTGATAACATGAATATATTTGACCTGGACATAAAATCTGACATAGTCATCTTGTTTCCACTGCTATCATTTTGGTTTAGACTGGGTGACATACTTATAAATAAACGTAAATAATTGCATGCATTTTCATAACCCCTCCCCCACCCCCCATCACAAATTGATTTAGGCACATAACAGGGGTCTCTCAACCTCATGCAACCTCGTGATAAAGTGCTGTATGACATAGACACACTTGAAAGTGCTGTATGACATAGACACACTTGTTACAGCATATGATTATATGAAATGAATTCATGCACAGCGAGTCATGGTAAAATAAATGCTATGTGCTAAACAAAATAGCAAGTACATGTAGTATTCTAGTGCAGATTTCTTAAGCATGCATAATTTTGTCCCTGTTCCCTACTTTGAATATTTTACTTCTTGAAAAAAAGCATAATATTTTTACATGAACACTCGTGACACCCACCAGCTTCTGTCATCGGCGTAAAACTCAAATTATTCACATAAACACTGACACTTAGAATTTGTCAAGTTCAAGCATCTGAATGGTCAGGTACCAGTAATCATCTACATCATACTGCTTTAAAATCGTTTACGATTACACTAAGCTGGTATACATTGTATACACTGAATTGAATTTCAAAAGACTGATTTGAGATACAAGGGAATCCTGGAACCAGTCCCTTGCTCTTATTGTATTGAGTCCCCTTGGTTCTTTTACATGCCCGGTGTATAGCACTGATACATGCGAGGATTACCAGTTCACCTCTAGGTAGTAGGAAACATTGTGTCTGTGAAAAATCCCAAGGGTATTACCAAGGATTGAACCTGGGACCTCAGGAGTGATAGTCAGTGGTCTAACCAACTATTTCCCGAATATAAACATTTACACAAATCAAACTTTTTTATATTCAAGAAGCTTTTTTCTACAGTAATCTAATAAGATTGCAGCAGATGAATTAAAATTTAAATATAAACAGCTAGAGCTGTAACTGGAATAGTTGGAATATGACAGCTCTACATAAAATATAGCTACTGAGCCAGCAAAATCACTTAGTATAATTAACTGATTGCTGGATAGCTACACTATTCCAAGGGTCCCGGATTCAAGTCACAGTCAGGCTGCACATTTTCTTGCCCTGTGACATTTGGCGCCCAACGTGGGGCAGGGACCATCAACCGGACAATTTTTGAACATTTTTCCTTACAGATTTCATAATTCCTAACCTAGAGACCAAAAAATTTGACACAGTTAAGCTAGGTTCTTCTCTTAACTTACAAACTAGTTTGTTTATTTCTGATTGTATTGACACTTATATCTGAGGCTCGACAAGGAGTGCATCAAAATTACCTAAATTGTCCATGTACACTACAGTACCATTTGTCCAGACAGATATGTACATGACGTGATTTAATTCAGATAAAAGCTTGGGTGTTTTGATTTTTAACATGATATACAATATTTCAGCAACAAATGCAGTAGTTTTGGATGTTCTATAATGTTTACTCTGCAAATGATTATAGCTGGTATATGAGGTCAGGCATTGCTTTCATGACCCCCAAATTTCAATGTCAACATTCTTGAAATAGACATTAAAATATTACCATTTACGGAGGTTGAAATAAATTTATTTACTCAATTTTAGAAGAAACATGCATTTATTGTTGATAAAAAGTGACGGACAACCACTGAAAAAAGAAAATACTAAATTAAGCATTTTCGGGGCCCTCCAGATTTGGTGGTCCCAAACCAGTATAGCTCAGAGTTTAGTTTATATTGCTCTGTAATTCTGTGTAATTCAAGACCGACTTTCGATATAGCAGGGGAGTCTGCCACGGTTCAGAACTGGTCGCTTAATTTAGGTGGGATGATGTGTAAGTGATAGCTCAGTCGGTAGAGCCACGTTACCGTATTCAGAGGGTCCCAGGTTCGAGTCCCGGTCAGGCTGCATATTTTTCTAACCCTGTGACACAAGTAACTTAATTACTTAATGTAACTAACCCATTGACCTACATGCTAAAAATCCAAAAAAATACAAAATGCACATCTGTAAAACCTAAAATAGTATGTAATTAATTTTTTATTATATGATAACTTCACTTCTAAAGCAAATGCTAACGTAGAGGTCTAAATTGCTAAAGCATATATGGAAGTTTATACATGTCTGGTTAGCAAGGTGCGTAGAACACGAATGCAGCCCTCAGTAGAAAGGGCAAACGTATGGACGATCTTACAAAAATATAGCGCTTCAAAAGTAAGAAAATAACAAAGGATACAGTTTAACAACATCTGTGTCCATCCGACGCTTCCCTGGACTTGGGGATGACATTTTTTCAACGTTTAAAACGACAAAACTCTACAAATGTTTTCCTGCAACTTGTAAAACAACAACAAATATGGCGAATGTCAGTATATTGTTGGTGACGTCGCTCGTCACGTGATAAAATTAACTCCACCTTCGACAGTTTTCTTTTAGCAATTTTTGTGTTTCTGATCATTAAATATGATGTTTCCTTAGTCTTTAAAGTTTTCAAATTTATAAAGGATCTTCTATATGCACTTTTGATTCTATTAAGGGATGAAACTAATAATATGGTCCAGTAGGTCAAAGGTCACTATTGACAACCGGGTCATCAGCTGTTCGATGTAAACAAATACACATGGCAAGTGTTTTATTTACATCCATTGGGAAAAAAATAAAGAGAACTTGTATACCGGAATTGAGATTAGAAAATTAAGGACAATGACCACTTAAAATACTTTCAAAGCTTTACAAGGCAATCATGCAATATGTTGGAGACAAATATTTTCAAAATCTATTTATAGAAATTGTGATCCGCAGAAAATTTAAGTTATCTTTATATATTTAAATAAATTCATAGTGTTCAAGCAGCCCGGCTAGCTCAGTCGGTAGAGCACGAGACTCTTAATCTCGGGGTCGTGGGTTCGAGCCCCACGTTGGGCGCAACATTTTTTTTTCATATCTATCAAGTTTTCTACTAATCTTTTTGAATGCGAGTATCACAGATATATAAACTCTTATATTTAGCTCCATGGCGAGTATCCAAGGAATATTTAGTCGTTCTCGACCACAGATACCTGGGGTGTGCAGCTTAAAACGCCTTTTATAAAATCCAAATAATATGTATATTTTTCAATCCCAGAACATGTATTGATAATATATATATAAAAAAACTTAATATAGATCTAAGCCGTTTTGAAAAAATAATATTTCAACTATATTATTATAGTAGTCAAAATATATTGACGTGCCAAAGCTTGATTCTGAGATATTTTCGTTCTGGGACAGAATCTCGCTTTTAGAGGCGAGATATTGCCCAGACACGAAAACAGCACAATATTTCGACGCGCAGTACAATTACTTGGACTAATTATTATAGATGTTGAGATATGATTTTTTTCCAAGTGTCTGTGAACGTGAAGTGGTTGCATGCACACTTGGTTCAAGCGTGCGAAATGGTTGCAAACTCATCAAAATGGCTCGCGATTGTATGTACATATATCTGCTTACATATTTAATATTTATAACACACAAATGTATTATATTTTAGATTAAAGTTTTATGCAAACTACAGCATTTATATGTTAACCAAATGCCATTTTTAAGGTTTATTGTTATTTTTCAAGAAAGACAACTTTGTTGACCTTGTTTGTTAAATTTTAACTTTTGGTGTGATTATGTCCCTTTGACCAAATTTGCTATTGTTAGAATTTAAGATTGCAGCATATGTTTTTTATATGTAATTTTTAGAAATTACTGTTTCTATTTGTCATGCACTGATGTGTGTATTTTACAGAACTTGCAGTACAGAGCTAATATCACAGTGCGAGTTACACAGTCTGATCCACAATTGATTTATTATATTATATTTATATGTCATTATTTTTGTCGTATAGAATTTTTAATTCACATAACTTTTTTATTCGTGTATTTTCGATTTTTTTTAAAGATTCTTATATCATTTGAAAGGGTTCTATGTTCAAGAAATCATTTTTACTTATAATTAAAACATGTTAAACACGTTATCTAATACGCTACGGCCACGTGCTGACCATAGCTATTAAAGTTTAAAATATACCATGTTAAATGCCAAATATGATATGCTATGTAAATATGTTTCAAACTATGAAATATGAACTATCTGATGTATGAAACGCCTTTTAATTAATTAATGATCAACATTATTTTTTGTCCAATCACATTGTAGTATTTTTCAAATTTCTGCTAAGTCTAACTTTGGTTAATGTGTACTAACTTAATAAAATTTACTTCATCTGTCGTCTAAACAGTCTAACAAATTTCAATAATGCATTATATTAGGGAGGAGTTAGAGGTGTGATTTGCACTCTGAGTTGTAAAATATCTAAGGTTATCAAAACAATGCCAACATAAAAAACAATTAAGCGAGGTCAGGTGTTTCTAAATGTGAGGATACAATCAATTAATTTATTACATAGATAATGCATGTTGGGTACGCAGAGACAAATGATTACATAGTAACTTTTTTTTTTATCCTTTTAACTCTAAGAAAAATGTCTGTTATAAATTGCTGACTGTTTTAAACTTCTTTTTTTTATAGAAAATGTTACCTCTTTCAGTTGATAGGATTATGAACTGCATTAACAATCCTTGATATTAAGAATACAATTATTACATTTTTTGGCTGGAAAACTCATTGTAAATGGAAAACACAGAAAAACTGTTTTTCAAATGGGATTTGAAATGTTAGTGAATAACTTAAAGCTAATAACGAATTTGTATAAATTATTAATCTAATGTATTTTCTCACATTTTCCATTTATTTATCAAGGATGTACACATTTCATTAACTCAATTGTTTTTCCTCGCTGTTTTTTCCCCAGATATTTTATAGAAACATGATAGTCTTACTGTAGATAAAGGTATAAATTCTGTGACATTTCAGTAAAAAATTTGCCTGATTATTTGTTGATAGGGCCATTTATTTAGCTTATCTAAATTTGACATGTTAGAAACTTGACAAGGTGTAGACATCTTGTAGAGCGAAAGGGCGGAGCTGTCGGTGATTTAGTGAAATGCCTTGTTTTTGGTTGAAAAAATAATGTTGATCATTAAATAGGTTAATGTTTAATAATATGCATAAACAAAAATAATTGGTCGCCTGCCTGCGGCAGGCTTGACCAATTATTTTTGTTAATACATATTATTAAACACTAACCTATACTTATTTTTACACATATTTTTGAAACGCTTGTTATTTTTTCAATTTTCAAGTTTATTTTAAGGCAGTCGATCTGATATAGAAATGATTCTAGCAATTAGTTTTTAATTAGTTTTTTATTAGCCTTTTATATACGATGAAAACTGCGGAGTTGTGCTATAAAATTGTAGACATAGTTACCCACACATTATTTTGAGTAGAGAATAAGTAATATTTACACAAAGCCAGTTACATTTAGAGGATATTGGATAAATGTTGGTTTAATACATTGAACCCGGTAAATAGAGTTATATTATTTGAGCCACTTAAACACCGTAGGGAACGTGTTACAGTATCGCGTTTTCCGGTTACAGTATATAATTTTAAAGATGGAGGATTATTTGTTGGGAGGGCAGGTAGGTGATTTTTATTCCGGTCCATACTACAAGTAGTTTAGTTTCTAAAAGATGTTTTTGTGCTTTGCTTGTAAGGAACAGAATCCGGTATCTAGTCATGTATTTCTTCAGACTCTGCACCGCAGATTTATGGCTATATTGTCTCATAAATATGCAGATTTGACAGTTTGAAAATTTGAATCGAGAGACCAACGCATTTTTCTCCAATTTCGACATTATTTATGCATGCCTAGAAAAAGTAAATCTGCAAAACGTTAGTCCTTTATGTTAGGAAACGTTTATAAAAGTAAATGACCAGTTGAACCTATTTTTCCTGTTAGTTAAATGCGTTTGAAAAAATAAACAATGTTACAAGTATAGAGCGAGGTGATTTGTGCAGGGTTACAGCATAGACCTATCCGATTTTGTTTACAGTTTTATACCCATATTTCAGTTACAGTTTAGACTTCGATATTTTCTATATAAACTAGGTAAAATGTATGAATGTTACATAGACTTTTAAATCTCTGTGAGCTTATTGGCCCGATGGCTATTAGTCCGTCTGTCGTACACATGTATATGCAATTTCATCCGCTCAGTAGCAACTTGACTAAATGTGATGAAATTTACATGACTTTCTACCTAAGTTGTTCAAATAGTTTTGGTTGAAATCGGGGATACGAAAATCCAAATTATAGATTTTGAAAAAAAGGCAATGTTTGAAGACCCTTCTCATCTCGAACCAAACGCATTCAAATCAAATCATGATCATGGCGTCATTTCGAATGCTTCTTTGTTGAAGTTACGATTATTTTGTCATTATTAAATTAAAAGTCGTTTTTTTTTATTTCAGACATCCTATATAGCAGTTTTCATGTTTCTGAAAAAGAAAATAATATTGAAAGTTATAGAGTATAAATTAAGGTCAGACAATTACAATATCTTCTCCAATTAGCCTGATGGAGGTACATAATAGTATAGTGGCAGAGTCGGGATAAGGCCGTCCATATCAAATCATCTTTCATTTACTGACTGGATTCTTTGTATGTGAGGAATCTATCAAGCTAATTTACGGAAGGTCGGTGGTTCTAGTCAGGTGTCCGCTTGTGTCTGAAATGTTTCACAAAAGGGTATCTGGGGTATTTCTTTACACTAAAGCAGGAATGTTTTCACATGACCTCAGTGTCGTTGAAACTTAAATCCAAGAAAGCCAAACGTAACAAACCCTTTTAAATACTTACAAAATACATTATGGTAGATGGAAATTCCAACTTAAAATAAAATTTAAGATTGCAGTATTGCTCACTCAAATACTATTTAATCATTCTCAGGGTATTGCCTACTTGTTAATTGTGTCTTTTGACAGCTTATCTATGGTATGCAGGCTTCATAACCTCCGATCCCCTCTCAAAATTTCATTTTATTTAGTTTCACTCATTGTATTCGTTTAGGGCACACGCAACTTTTTACCTTGTGGTAATATGCCGCTTTTCATAGAATGGCAATAACGTGTCACATTGAAGGTTGCTAATCGCCATATGAACACATCCACAGATGTTAAAAAATCTAAAGTGTACTAGTTCATGTTTTCTCGCATGGTTTGGAACTTTTCCTTTGTTCTTACTAACCCATTATACTCAGTACACTTCAACGAGCATTTCAAAACTGTATTGATATATAACAGTACAGTTTTTTCATTGATTCATATAGGGAAAAAACTCGACTGTTATATATCGGTCGAGTTTTTTTCGCACCTGTTATATATCAATGCAGTTTTTTTTTCATAGAGGCTCCAATGGGGCAGTGGTAACGACCATTCCCAGTAGCAAAAAATG